GTTATAAAATCCTTTGTTAAATCTTCCCACACTTTATTTGGGATGGGTAGGGGTTGGAGAAGGCCCTTTTTCTTCTTTGGTAGATATTTGTTATGCTGACAAACCGAAGAGTGTTGAACAAATTGTTGTGTCTCTGTAGATGCCTGGCCAGAGAAAGGAAGAAGACAGACGAGCTAAGGTTGGTTGAAGCCTTGACTGGCCATCAAAAGGATTAGAATGAAACTCCTTTAACATGTTTTGTCAGAGCTCTTCAACCGGAGGTATGTAGATCTTGTCATTATGGTAGAGAAGTTCATCTTTGATGGAGAAAAAGGATTGTGTATTTGGTACAAATAACACTTTACTCGTGAGGTATTGACCTTCTATCTCTGTTTTGTAGTACTGTTTGAGTTGGGTGATTAGGAGTGGAACGGGTGAAGAGATGGACAGCAACACGATTTCCTCTTCAGTATGAATTCTGCTAAGAGCATTAGCAACTTGGTTAGATTTTCCAGGTTTGTAAAAAAATTTGAAGTTGAAGCCTTGTAGCTTAGCAACCCACTTCTGTTGTTTAGGGGTTTGATTAGTTTGAACCAATAAATTCTTTAAGCTTTTCTGATCAGTTTAGATGTGGAAATTCCTTCCAATTAAATATTGACGTTATTTCCTTACAACTTTCGTTATAGCGTACATTTCTCGGACGTACACGGAGGAGGCTTGAAGACGGTTGCAGAGTTTCTTACTGAAGAAAGCTAAAGGATACCGTTGCAGAAGCATTTGTCTTGAGTACAAAGATTTTAGAGAAATCTAGAAGACACAAAACTGGGGTTTCCGTCATTTTTTTTAGTGTTGTAAAAGTCATCTCAGCAGATGTACTTCAAACTAATTTATTGGAACACAATAAATCGATGAGAGGAGCGGCGAGAAAGGCGTAATGATGAACAAATCGTCTATAAACCCGGTGAGGCCTAAAAACCCCTTAAGAGTCGTGAGAGATCATGGCTTAGGCCAGTTGATGATTGCTTGAATATTTTATGGACCTGGGGTTACACCATCACTTGATATAAATATGCCCTAAATAATCAACAGTCGGAACATCAAAAACACATTTGGATAATTTGGCATAGAACTTGTTAGATAACAATAACTCTAAAACCAATTTTAAATGAAGAACATGGTCTGATATGCAAGAACTCTAAATTAAAATATCATCAAAGAAAACTAAAATAAACTATTGTAAGTATGGTCGAAACAAATCATTCATTGCCGATTGAAAGAAACTAGGAGCGTTAATTAGTAAAATCAAAAGGCATAACCAAAAACTTGTAGTGCCCGTCAAACGTTCGGAATACAATTTTGTGTGTGTCTTCTGGCGCAACCCTGATCTAGTGGTAACCTGATCGTAGATCAATTTTAGAAAAAATAGTTGCCGAACCCAATTCATCAAAAATTTCATCAATGGTGGGTATATGAAAACGGTCCCGAACTGCTACCATGTTTAAGACTCTATAATCAACGCAAAATCGCTAAGAGCCATTTTTTTTCGAGCTAAAAGAACAGGTGAAGGATAGGGACTGTTGCTAGGTCTAATGATGCCCTAGTGTAGCATGTCATGAATGATGGTTGTCATGGCTTATTTTTGTGAGTGGGGATATTTGTATGGTTTAACATTGATGGGGGAGGTGTTAGGAATTATAGGAATATGGTGATCATGTGGTCTTGTAGGAGGAAGGCCTTGTGGTAGTTGGAAAACCGCACCATAGAATTTTAAAAGGGAGATGACCTGGCTGGGTAAGGATGTTGGTAAAGACTCTAGGGTGTTGTGGGTGTGTGGTGAAGGGTCAGGTTGAAGTGCTTGGGAAGGTATGTACATTAGGAGGTGCATGGGAGCAATTGAGTTTGTATGTACAAGGTGGCAAAGTTTTTGGTAAGAAGAATGAGTGGGAGGATTTTTTGGGTCACATGTGATGGTAATCTCATTGTTTTTGTAAGTGAAAGAAATCTTTGGTATTGAAAAGTCCTTAAAAGAGGACCAAGGGTACGTAACTATTCCATGCCGAGGACAACATCGACGCCTTCAGTAGGGATTAAGTGGAAGGGAATAGAAAAAACTTGATCTTGTAAGGTGATAGGGACTTGGGGACTGAGTCCTGAACATGATAATTTAGAACCATTTTCAACCATGACAGAAAACTTATGTATGGGTTTTGTTGGGAGGTTTAAATGTTGGGTGATGCGAGGTTGGAGAATATTATGGGTACTGCCCGTGTCAATTAGACCAGTAACAGTAAGGCCATGGAGTAACCCTTTGAATTTAAGGGTCTTAGGTGAAAAGTGGCCGCTCACGGCTTGGGGTGAGAGCTGGAAGTAAGTGTCATCTGGTTCAATAGTTGGGGAGACATCATTATTGTCTAAAGATTCTTGGGTAGTAGGTTCATCCTCATCTACCATTAGCAATAGGAATTTTCCTGCTGAACATTTATTTCCTGGTATAAACTTTTCATCACAGTTAAAGCATAGACATTGAGCACGACGCTCTTGAAGTTGATCATTGGAGAGGCGTCCAATGGGAAGTTTAGAGGGTTGGGATATGGCTGGGTTTTAGGGGGTTGAAGGGGTCTGGGATGTGGTTGGTGAGGTTGGATTAGGCTTGTTAAAAGGGTTGGAAAAAGGTTTTTGATGTTTAGGTTTTGAATCTTTGATTTTGATTTCAATCAGCTTAGCTAATCCAATGGCTTGAGAAATAGAAACAGGTTTATGAATTGCAATTTCATTTTGTATGTCAGGTGCCAACCCAAAAGTGAAACAATAAAGGATGGCGTCTTGAGATAAACCTACTACTTGAGTACCAAGTTTTTCATACGCAGCTTGATATTCCGTAACAAATCCTACTTGTTTTAACTTAAACAATTCAGCCTGATGATTAGCATATGTGGATGGACCGAAACATAATTCCAACGCTTTAGTGAAACATGGCCAATCAATTGAAAGCTGACTTTGGTGCATCCATTTGAACCAACATAATGCTTCACCTTTCATATAAAATGACATCATAGAAAGTCTGTTTTCAGGAGGTAATTGATAAAATTCAAAGAATTGGTCAGCTTGAAATAACCATTCTAAAGGGTTGGAACCATCAAACATGGGAAGTTCTAATTTGGATGTTCGAAAGGGCGGAAGAGGTGTGGTTGGTGAAGTGGGGGAAAGGGGATTTGTTGGAGCATAGGGAAATTGTAGTTTTGTGTGAAGGGTAAGGTGTTGGGTTGAGTGAGGTAAGGTGAAGAGAAAAACCTGAGAATATGGGTTGGTGTAGGTCGCAAGGGGGCAGTGGTCAATATAGGTTGTTGTAGGTTGTTAGAAAGGGTACTGGAGTGTAACAAAGGGGTATAGGGTTGTTGCAAGCTAGGGGAATGATGAGGAGAGGTTGAATTAGTAAAAATGGGACTAGTATGGGTTGTAGGTATGGGAAGTGAGTGAGGAACATGAGGAGGAGCCATGAATCCAAATAGATGAAAGCACCAATTCATAAAGAGGTTTCAGCAACTATTTCTAGATCTAGGATTTGAGGGGGTTGGGAGGAGGAGCCATGAATCCAAATAGATGAAAGCACCAATTGATAAAGAGGTTTCAGCAACTATTTCTAGATCTAGGGTTTACCATAAAACAAACACAAAACTAAGAAGATATGATAAGAATATAAAATTTCTCAATATTGTCTACCTCTCTCTGAAGGTGACAAGTAGCTTAAATTCAAACAGAATTCTAATTGGACTACACAAACGGGTCAGACCCAACTAAGAAAAATAACATTAAAAAAAAAAAGCATTTTACTTGATCTTATAATCTTGCATCTATTTAGGTTGAGTCTTAATTCGTGTGGGTTTGCTGTCACATATACCCTCAGCCATTAAATTAATATTAAATATACCATTTCAGTTTTTGTTGGCTAAATAATAACCATAACACATTTAAATGTTACATTTGTGGTCAAAAACTCTAACAATTGTATCACTGAACCCTGAAAAACATAGTGAAAGAAATGAGTTTCGTTCATACCTATTGATGAGAATGATGGTAAGGAGATATGGAGAATCTGATGAAGAAGCGTAAAGTCAGCGGAGAGAAGGAACTCAGCTGAAAGAAAGAGTGATGAGAGAGAGTGACTCATGTAAATGAATGATTTCAAGAAAGGAGAGAAAATATAACTCGAAGAAAGAAATTGGAGTTGCACTAAGTGACAAGACAAGATTCAATAGAAAATGTGATTTTTTTTCTTCAATTTGTTAAATACCAAAATGTCCTTTTGATGTGTAATAAAGATGCGATTAATTTTCATTTTGCATCTCGAATTAAAACTTTTTTAATAAAAACTACAAAATCAAACTTTTATTAAACATTTTATTTGCCACATATCTCACTCCCCATGCCGTTACTTACCTTTTCCAACTTCCCGGCATGATTTCCTGCTCTTGAATGATTCATGCATAAGTTTCTTACATATATAATGATTCCTATACAGTACGTGACTCCATGTTTCAATCTCTCTATTAAATTTCCAAATCAACGTGATCTCCATTACTCCTCCTAATATCATACCTAATCATAATTAATTTACTTTAATAATACACTAGTTCGTACCAGTACAACCTTAATTTATTCAACATTCTATTAACTTGTGACACATCTATGTATTAATAATGAATCAGTCTTACATGCGTGTGGAAACCATTAAAGAATTCATATCAATTGTCAACATTGTCAACTCTTGTCCATAATCCAGAATCTTATGCTTCGCACGTTCAACACTAGTCCCACAGCACTAAGAAAAAAACAAACAAACATTAATTAACATTTGAAAAATAAACATGAAACAAAAACATTCAAAGTCAATGTATGAGTTGTTGTTGTTGTTGTTGTTATGAGAGTCACAATGAAGCTGGCCTTGTTCAATTCTCTTCCTCAAATGATATATATAAATACACAATTTTTGTTTAAGTGTTTTAATTCGAATTAAGAAAGAAATGGTTAAGCCTCGTATCAAGTTGCGTAGTTTGTGTATTGGTCATGTTGCCACACCTCGTGTTCGAGGTTGTTCTTCATCTTTTGGATCGAAATTTGCGAATAGAACTGAGTTTTCAAGCAATGGAGTTCATGATTCTGGTAGAGATGACAAAGGAGATGAAAGTGGGAATAAAGTGATGGTGGTTGTGGATTCTAGCTTTGAAGCTAAAGGGGCTCTTGATTGGGCACTTTCACATACTATTCAAAGTCAAGATACTGTTGTTCTTGTTCATGTAGCTAAACCCATTGGAGAAGGTGAGAGAAAACAATGATTCTACTTTTTTTTTTCTCTTTTAAATCCTTATAATTCTCCTAACTCTGTTGATTGATTCTTAGATGGTGAATCTGATGTGAAGTTTAATGTGAAGGCTTATCAACTTCTCTTAGATATGAAGAAAATTTGTGAAACGAAGAAACCCGGGGTAAGCTTCTATTAGGATTTTTTTTGTCAAATTATTTGGTAGTTAAAATTTATGTATTCGAACTCGAACTTGCACATCTGTAACATGTAGTCTGATGTTTCTGTACAACTATCAACTGACGACGAGAATATTTTTATTTTTATGGGTATTTAGGTGCAAGTGAATATAGTATTGCTTGAAGGAGAGGACAAGGGTGGTGCCATAGTGCAAGAGGCAAAGCAACAAAGAATGTCTTTATTGGTTGTAGGGCAAAGAAAACGTTCGATCTTGTGGTGTTTGATGAGGAAGTGGACAAGAAAGAGAACAAAAGGTGGAGTTGCTGAATATTGTATACAGAACTCACCTTGTATGACTATTGCTGTGAGGAGGAAGAATAAGAAACTTGGGGGGTATTTGATTACTACCAAACGCCATAAAAACTTTTGGCTTTTGGCTTAGTGTGAGTGTATCAATGAAGTGGATTATTGTGTGGGTTTGTGTCTAATAGACATGAGTAAGGGTGTGTTTAATGTACTACAAAATGATTAGATCAGTATGTAGATACTCCCTTACTTGAATGTTTTGGGCCTTCACTTTGAAGGAGCTTTTTCATAATTAAATTAGACTAAATAACACAACACATACTATGTTGAGATGGAATTATGTGCCAATATACCAGTGTTAACACTATGTTGAGATGGAACGTGCCAATATACCAGTGTTATAAATTAAGGATTGTTGGTTGCACCATTAATATTACTTTTAAATTCTATATAATATTACTTCTAAATTCTATAGAATTTTTGGAAATGGTGCTTTTGGAAATCAATACTAAAGGTAGTATATATACAACATCCAAACACCTCAATCAAACTAGACACATTTTTTAAAGGATAAAAATAATGCATAAATTATAATCATGTTTGAATTTAGAAATTCAGACGCGCCACATATTACAAAATAACTCAAGTTCATCTGAAACGCATTCAAAACCATAAACCATAAACCCTAATTATACATTACATGTGTGTGTTCGGATTTTGAAATTTGACTAGTATGTGAGGTCACTTTTCATAAATTTAAGGATTTGAGAGTAATATTAAGGGTGCAATAAGTAGCATCTATTAAATTTAAACCTTGAGATGATAGGTTTTAAAATGAGAGGCTCTGCCCTCTCTTTATACCATCTCTTCTTCTATGGATTGTAAGGTTGTGTTATGATTTGAGAATTTCTTAATGCATTTTATATGTTTCTTAGACACCACGCAAAAATACTAAAATGTCACCTAGTTTTTGGAGATCCATCTTCGGACGCACGCACTTAATACACATTCAACGTAGGTCATTTTGAGTGGCGCCCTATAAGCTGAGTATTTTTAATTCTGGAGATGTATCTCTGGAATATTTCAAGAAATATATTCATAATTGATTAGCTCAGTGAAAATTCCTGAGATGCATCTTCGAAAGTTTGGGCGAGATTTTGAAAAATGTTGTCACATTTGCATGTCAGATATTTTTGGAGACGCACCTCCGAAATAATGTGAAAACAAATAGCTGCATGATCACAACTGTTGTTGTATTTCTTTACAAACCCTCACCAAAAACCCTTATATTCTTAATCCACATGTTCACTCCAAATCTCTAATCTTGTAGTTCATTACACCAAAGGGAGCAAAGGAAGATAAAATTTCAGGTAAAGATCATTTATTTCAAGTTGCATTACTCGCATTAATCTTATTTTTGTCTGAAAAACAAGCATTTTTTTCCGGAAATGTATCTCCGAAAGGAATATGAACTTATCCAAAAATGCATTTTCGAAACCTGTCTATGTTCATTTTCCAGTTCTGTTTTCAACAGTGACGCTTATATACTGTTATGTGGTAATTGTTTTCATTAGATATGGTGCACCCCGGTGTTTTCCCCAAACAAGTTGTTTCTCTTAATGTCAAAGGTGTTGTTGTGAAGGCGGTAGATGTTGGTAACCAATTTAAAAACGAGCAAGAGTTTAAATATCGGAATCAAATGCTTCAATGGATTCATATGGAGGCCTCCAAACTTGAATTTGGTGTAGTTATTGGAAGGTTCGATAATGGTTCAGATAGAAGATGGACTTTTATGGTAATGAAATGTGAAAGAAGCGTGAAATATAGACCTCATCTCCGGAATTTTAAAAGACATGACATTGGTTCAAGAAAATGTGTGTGTCCCTTTAAGGTGTATGGTTACATGTTGGCAAACAAAAACTGAAGATTTAGTGTCATATGTGGTTTGCATAACCATGATTTGTGTGAAAAGTTAGTCAGTTATCCTAATGTGTGTCGGCTCATGTCGGAAGAGAAGGAATGTGTTGCTGACATGACATTGGATTTGATTTAACCGAAAAATATGCTTGCAATATTGAAACGGAAAAAAACCCAAAAATATGTCAAATATCAAGTAAGTGTATAATATTTGGTACCAAACTAACAAGATGCTTAGAGGGGATAAAACAGAAATGCAACAAATCTTGAAATTGTTGGATGATAACAGTTATGTGTCTAGCTAACGAACGTGCAAGGATATAGTTATTGTTAGAGATATATTTTGGACTCATCCTGATTCCATAAAGGTGTCTAATATGTTTCTTACTGTGCTCATACTTGATTCAACCTAAAATACCAACAAGTATAGACTTCCGTTATTGGAGATGATTGGTGTTACCTTAACTAAAAAGACATATTTTGTTGGGTTTTCATTTCTAGAGGGTGAAAAAAAGGAGAATGTTACTTAGGCCTTAGAGGTGTGTTAGACACTATTGAAGGACCAACGTGAGATGCCTAAAATGATTGTTACCGACTGTGATACCGTCTTGATGAATTTAGTTCAAAGGTATTTTCTAATTCTAATGCATTACTTTGTAGATATCACATAACAAAGAATGTGAGAAGACGGGTTAAACTCGCGGTAGGGACGAAACAGATAGAGTCCAAAGATGGAAAAATGGTGAAGACGAGTGTGATTATGGAAAAAATAATGGATGCATGGAATCATATAGTAAATTCTTCCATAAAAGAACTATATGCCGATTTCGTTATGCATTTCAGGAATGTGTGTGAAAAGTATCCTGATTTGTTGAAATGTGTTGTAAGCATAATCCTTTACCACATGAAGGAGAAAATTACTTGTGCTTGGATTGATAAGGTTAGGTACCTTGTAAAAACAACAGCTAACAGAGTTGAGTCAGCCCATTCTACTTTAAAATTTGGTTGGGAAATAGTAAGGGCAATTTCTGTAGAGATTGGGACTCCGTGAGCCGAATGATTCAAAACCAACATAATAAGATACAAACATCATTTGGTCAGAGCATCACAGTTTTAGAACACAGATTTAAAGACAGCAATATTTATTCTCAATTGTTCGGTAACATATCTCGAGCGAGTTTAAATTATATTTTTAACGAGGATAAACAAGCTGATAATGTAGACTTCGATAGCGTAAAGTGTATATGCACAATTATGAAAATATATGGCCTCCCATGTGCTTGTGTTATTGCAAAAAAGGTGAAACTCAATAGCCCGGTAAGAATGGATGAGTTTTACACTCATTGGAAGAAGCTTAGGTTTGATGATGATAGTGTCATGAAAGACGGTAAATCGAATATCTCTATTTTGACCAAATAGGAAGTCATACAAGAGAGATTTTTGAAAGCTGATGACAACGTGAAAATCCACATCAAAGAATAATTGAGGAAGATTGCCTATCCAGAAACCACCAACTTGAAACCGCCCACTCAATCCGTAAAAACAAAAGGTGCTCCGAAGAAATAAGCCTACACCGATGAAAATTCGAATACATGGTCTCCTTCATATTTTAAACATGTTGACAAAGTTTTTTCCGACTCACCAACTCCAAAATCTCAAAAAAGTATTGTCAAAGGAGCCCATGTTAGCAACCACCTCCTATGTCGCCTCCACCAAAAATTCCATTCATTAGCGAGATGCCCATTTTTATACACAAATACATTAAGCGGGTCGTCAATGTTGTGGGGGACGGTAATTGCAGTTATCGAGCAGTTTCGGCTTTACTCGGTAAAGGAGAAGATAATCATACACTTGTCCCCCATCAACTTATTCAATAGTTGAGGACACATAAATAATCATACACACGACTGTACGGAAAGAAAGAAAAATCCGATGAAGTTTATGAATCTTTTGTTCCTTGCCTTAGCGGTCCGACATCGGAGGAGAAATGGATGTGTTTCTCTGAAATGGGTCACCTAATAACATGTGCGTATGATAGAGTGTATGTTAATCTGATACGATATAGTTTTTCGAAAACCTTTTTCCCACTGCATACCACCCCACCTCAAAATCCAAATGATCGTATTATGTATATTGGGTGGCTTTCAAAATCACATCATTTTGTTCAAGTTTACTTGAAATCGGGATGCCTTATACTACTTAAGTCAACAGAGTGGATGACTCATTCAACAACAAAAGTTGAGACTTGGGCAGATTATTTTATGGAAAGGATGCAAGAGTTCGAGAAATTGAGCAACATTGAAAGAGAATCAAATGCACAAAACTCAAAGGGGGTACCACCCATAGATTTAACCGGCGACATATGTTTCGATTCGTTTTAATTTCTTGTTTAGCTAGACAAATAAGTGTATGTAATTGTGTCTCAATATTAATGAAGTGTAATATATTCAACAATTGTTCATATGTGGAATACGTATTTCTGTTTTGAAATAAAATTTCTGCTCAAGTTGGAAGCGGCGATTTCAAGATCGGTCGAAGATATTGCGAAGATGTTGAAGCGCCCACATGGATATTGAAGTGTAATATTGCATTTTATGTTGAAATCATCTATGTAATGCTTATTTTATTTTATAGATTTTAATTTCATTTTGAAAACTACATGTTTTTGGTATCTGCCTCTGCTACTGATGTCTCTTTGTTACGGAAATATTTCGAAGATGCATCTCTGGAATTAAAAATACTCAACCTATAGGGCGTCACTCAGAATGGTATGCGTTGAGATTGTATTGGGTGTGCTCGAAGATGCACCTCTAGAGATTGGGGGTATTTTAGTATTTTCATGTGATACCTAAGAAATGTGAAGAAGAGTTCTTGTCCTTATTTATAGTTTTGATGAAGACAAACACATCAACAAAAAGAAGTCAAATCTTGAAGACTAGAGCAATCAAGTTTTTATTCATCATTTAAGGTATATGAAACTTCCATATCATATACATTCTTTTAGTGCTCAAATTCTTTTATTCATACATTGAAAAAGATTTTTCATTATATAATCATTAGGTGCTCACAACTTTCATCTCATACCTTCTAAAGTTTGGCAAAATGTGTTACATGATTCACTTTAATTTGGATTTTAACTTAGTCAAATTTTGTATTTTTGAATAGGGAAATAGGCTTCCCTTTTAGAGGAAATATGTTTCCTTCCTCTCTGCCAGACCA